TGCAGGGGCTGATGTCTCTTACCTGGATCCAGTCCCACGACGATCCGGTCCAGGAAGCGCGGCGCCTCCTTCAGTTCGGCCACTGGATGTTCGTGCGGCTGCTCGGCTCCGCCTCCTCACCGGTGATTGGCCGCCAGAACTGTAGCTCAGGAAAGGCACACAGGCGGCCAATCACCGGCGAGGGGGCGGAGCCGAGCGGCCCCGCGCGAAAATTGAGTGCCGGAGCAGCAGGTAAGTGTTCTGTGTAGAGGTGCTGCTGCAACCACATATGCTGGCTGCAGCAGCACCATACGAGAACAGGGTCAGCAAGTCTCAGTGGGAGGAATAGTGCCCCATCATTGGTGTCACTGATACCAATGATGGGGCACTATTCCTCCCACTGACACCAACGATGGGGCACTATTCCTCCCCCCCACTGACACCAATGATGGGGCACTATTCCCCCCCCCCACTGACACCAACGATGGGGCACTATTCCACCCCCCACTGACACCAATGATGGGGCACTATTCCACCCCTCACTGACACCAATGATGGGACACCATTCCTCCCACTGACATCAATGATGGGGCACTATTCCTCCCACTGATACCAATGATGGGGCACTATTCCTGCCACTGACATCAATGATGGGGCACTATTCCTGCCACTGACATCAATGATGGGGCACTATTCCTGCCACTGACATCAATGATGGGGCACTATATTCCTCCCACTGACATCAATGATGGGGCACTATTCCTCCCACTGATACCAATGATGGGGCACTATTCCTCCCACTGACACCAATGATGGGGCACTATTCCTTCCACTGATACCAATGATGGGGCACTATTCCTCCCCCTGATACCAATGATGGGGCACTATTCCTCCCCCTGATACCAATGATGGGGCACTATTCCTCCCACTGGTGTGCATTGGAAGAGGGGTAGTCTTATACGGCGAATATAGCCCAAACACTACATTTTAGCAGGAAAAGTAGGGGGGTCGTCTTATACGCCGGCAAATACGGTATGTAAATTTTTTAAAATATATTTTCCTTCCATGTGGGATACCTCGTGGCTTATTCATAGAGGTCCTGATGGAGCAAAGTTTTGAAGCAGAGCAGGTGGATTTTTCCTTGTATCAGATAATATCAATACATTTTATTCTGGTTTTCTGGAAGTTGAGTGGCCTCATCCTTTGTATCCTATAACATTTAGTGTCTCCCTACCCCGGGGGTTGATGGCGTGCGTCGCAGTGCTGAAAATATAGCTCTGAACTTTAAGTCCTAGCAGCATCAAAGTACGGTAGGCAACCTAGCTTCAAGGGAGAGGTGGCGGCTGTGGGTGCAACTGCACAAAAGCCTTTCTATTTTTGTTGTGAAAAGATGCGTACCTGTTCACCTTACATGATGAAAGGCATTCTGTGTAATTACGTCATGTGACCAAATGTCAGGTACAGAAATATTTCAGAAGAAAATAACAGTACAGGTACTTATAACCTTTTGAATACATTCTGGGCGAGTCTGGCTCTTTCTATTTATACAATGTACAGTATGCATGGTACCAGGGTGGATTTGATTTAAATTACTAGTCAGTAAGGCTTGATGTAATCCTAGTTTTCTACATAAAGACTAATTCTTGCTGGTATAAACTTTAATATACAAGTAGATGAAGATTTTTAGAATAACTTTCCATATTAGTTTTTTTATCCCCAGTTTAATAGGTTAATCATTCATATTTGGACAACTTTTCTGTTGTATTTAGGAAGGAGAAAAATAATCATTACCTTAATAATAACAATTTAAATAGATTTATTCATCTGAAACAATAACATTCCAGCAGATGTGATTTGCTTAAACATCCCATGTTTGTTAACTAATTTGGCTAAACAAAATATATATATTTTAAGAAACTTAGACTGTCAGCCCCTCCCCCTCACACTTAGTTTCACTTTCTTCTTGTGCAGATCTATTCCACTCCAAACAATCAGAAAAATATTGTTTCTATTCTATTCACTGAACTTCTTGAACCTTAGCAGTGAAGGGGTTGATTCTGTATTCATAGGTTTGTAGAAGTTAGGATGAAGGTCTTTTTCTTAACTCTGTTCATGTTATAACATTTTTGCTGTGAAGAAGAGGCATGTGATCTCCGCTGAGTCAAATTCAGTTTTGAGAACTGCAAAAGTAAACCAATCATCTGTGATAATATCTTGTAGGCAGAGAAACTGCCCAATAATCTTACAGAAACCTCTGGAAGAGCATGACCTTGTGAATGGATTCATGGGATTTATTTACCAAAACAATTAAACATATACAGCCTTATTCTACATAATTAAAAAACTAATCTTTATTTCATGATGGAATAACCTTTGGATGGTAATATATTTTCCTCAAAAAGCATTTTATTCAAAAAAATCCGATTTAAATAAAAAAAATCCGATTTAAATTAAAAAAAAATCCGATTTATAAATAAAAAAAATCTGTTTTTTTTTTTTTTTTTTTTTTTTTTTAAAATCATTGATTTTTATCCACCCTGCATGGTAGGGTGTATATACACAGATCAGCCAATAACATGACAACTCGCCATAACCCATCAAAGCATGGACTGCAAGAGACCTCTGAAGGTGCGCCGTGCTATATGGCACCAAGCTGTCAGCAGCAGATCCTTTCAGTCCTGTAAGTTTTTAGGTATCCGACTTGTTTTTCCAGCCAATCCCACAGATGCTCCGCTGGAATGAGATCCATAAAATTTTGAAGACCAAACTCATTGTTGTGTCCTTCAAACCATCCTTGAATTCATCAGCCCAGGCCATCTTCTTCCATTGCTCTGTGGTCCTGTTCTGATGCTCACATGCCCATTTCAGGCAGTTTTGGCTGTAGACACGGGTCGGCATGGGCACCCTGACTGTTCTGTTCACAGCCTCATGCACAACAAACCGCGATGTACTATGTGTTCTGACCTATCAGAAGCATCTTTAACTTTTTTTCAGCAATTTGAGCTCCAGTAGCTTTTCTATTGGATCGGACTATACGGGCCAACCTTCGCTCCCCACTTGCATCAGTGAGCCTTGGCCACCTATGACCATCCCCATTTTTTGTATTTTAATATTTGTTTTTTAGTGTTTTTTTTTCACAGTTTCTGTTTAGCAGCAGTTACAAAATGTAATATTTAGATAGAATGGAACCTTTTTCTCGTGCTTTCTTTTTTTTTTTTTTTGAATCCAAACACACACAGGGTGTCAACCAGCAACAATACAAAACCTGACAGATCCTAAAGCTGTCCATCCACTGCCTGAATTTTGGCCAGTTCAGAGGAGTTGGCAGAAATTATAAAGCTGGCCGTGGACTAGAAGATTTTCAAACATTTGCATGAACATTTATGCAAAAGGTTCTTATTGAATGTCATTTGAAAGTGTTGCTAAACCTTGGACCCTGCAATCACTATATCTGGTCTCCCCCGGACCCTGCATTCACTATATCCAGTCTCCCCGGACCCTGCATTCACTATATCCGGTCTCCCCGGACCCTGCATTCACTATATCCGGTCTCCCCGGACCCTGCATTCACTATATCCGGTCTCCCGGACCCTGCATTCACTATATCCGGTCTCCCCCGGACCCTGCATTCACTATATCCGGTCTCCCCGGACCCTGCATTCACTATATCCGGTCTCCCCGGACCCTGCATTCACTATATCCGGTCTCCCCGGACCCTGCATTCACTATATCCGGTCTCCCCCCGGACCCTGCATTCACTATATCCGGTCTCCCCGGACCCTGCATTCACTATATCCGGTCTCCCCGGACCCTGCATTCACTATATCCGCTCTCCCCGGACCCTGCATTCACTATATCCGCTCTCCCCCCCGGACCCTGCATTCACTATATCCGCTCTCCCCGGACCCTGCATTCACTATATCTGGTCTCCCACAGTACAAACAACATGGAAATTTAATTAGTTTAGTAGATATAAACTGCTAAATACATTTTCTCATTAGCAGTGTATAGCAGTCTTGTGACTTCTATCAGTGTCCAGCAGAGCACATGTTAAATCTTGTAGGAGGAGTTTTCATTTTGCAGTAGGAGAATACAGAAACCCAGGCCTCTGTCTGGACAGTGCTGCTTGGCCCTGAGATGATCACATGCACTCTCCCAAGAAAAAAAAAAAAAAACCTCTCTAGCAATACACACCAAACTGAGCGTGTGGAGAGTGTCTCCACACCATATGTCTTATCAGGAGATAAGAGGGGGACACTAGAAAAAGGAGAGGATCAGAGAAGACAGGATCAAACCAAATTTTTACACAATGCAGAGGGTTAACTCCTTAAGTTCCACAGTGAGTATACCAAGCATGCTTTACTGCATCTACAGACTGATTTTGCTGCTGTAGGTTTAGTAACACTTTAAAATAAATTAGATTTTGGAACACGTGGACTTTCCTGAATGAAAAACCACAAAGACTGGTCGAAATTTATTTGTACTAGATACAATTTCCATCCTGCAACTTCGACTTTTCTCATCACTGTGATTGGAAACGAATGTCGATTTGACCCCATTAATGATTAGAAAATCTAAAAAATGTTCTTAAAATGAAAAATGTTGAATAAAATTCTGCTAGTGCTTGGCCAGTCTAATGATGGTCCTGCAAGCTCAACTAAGTCCTCACGCACACGGGACGTTTTGATAACGCTGGTAACATTAGCTGTGTAAAGTCACGTTAAAAACGTGAGTTTTTCAGTTTTTTTTTTTCAGTGTTTTTTTGCGTTAACGGCGTGTTTTTAACGGCGTTTTCCGTGTTTGCATGTTTTAGTGGTTTTTTGGGGGTTTTTTTTTTTCCCCCCAAAAAATAATTTTTTTGGTAGAAAAAAGTCCAAAAATGGCAGTTTGCAGCGTTTTACCACGTTTTTTTCAGCGTTCGAGCGTTTTTACAGCTAAATAATCTTTAATCCACTAGTCCTGGGTTTTTTTTCCAGCCAAAATATGTTGATTACAGTCTTTGTGCATGGACACTAAATGTGATTACTCATTCGATTTACATTGAAGGAGCTGAACATTTGTCAGCTGAACAACGCCTGCAGGCACTATTAAAGTATTCTGACAACTGCCATTTGTGACTGTCAGGATATAATAGCCTGGCAGGGAGGATTCGTCCATGCGCACTGTTAGCATGGATGGTGGAATCTGTTAGCAGGGGCGGACTGACCATTTGGAAACTTGGGTAGGGCCCAGGGTCAGTAGGGGGCCCCATGAGATGCCCCTGGTACCTTTTTTTTTTTTTTTTTTTTTTTTTTTTTTTTTTTTTTCATAGGCTTTTTTGAGTTTGGGCAAGGACACAGGGGCCCCATGATCCCCTATTGTCCGGGGGCCCCATGAGTTGTCAGTCCGCCCCTGTCTGTTAGATTTCTTCCGTTCTACCAGCAGGTTGAACAAAAAGAATCTGTTGGTGTATGGCCTGCTTTAATTTACCGATTAAATCTGTTTATTGCTATAGCTGAAAGCAATTGGTGGATTAGAAGAGAAGCCTTTGATCTGAAGACTAATCGTGCAATAAATTATCCAGTAAGGCGGGCTCTATTGGAGTTGGGGGATCTGTCCGCTGATCCCCGATGAGCAGGCAGATGGCTGGTCAGTGCTTAGTGGACACAGCCCACTCTCCTGTTGAGGTGTTTGGATGTAAATGGGGCATCTGTCCAATTACACCCGACCGCCGTCCAATCCGTTCCCCATCCGTCTGTTTTTTAGCACGTAGGATCGAATCGGATGTAGGTGGGTGTGAACGGACACATGTCCATTTACACCCGCCGCTCCATAGAGCAGACTGGAGGGTCCGGGGCAAGAAGGAAAAGAAGGAAGGAAAGCGAACAGGGCGGGGGGGGTAAGAAGGAAAAGAGGGAAGGAAAGCGAACAGGGTGGGGGGGGGGGCAAGAAGGAAAAGAGGGAAGGAGAGCCAACGGGGGGGCAAGAAGGTAAAGAGGGAAGGAGAGCAACAGGGCGGGGGGGGGGGGGGCAAGAAGGAAAAGAGGGAAGGAGAGCGAACAGGGCGGTTAACTGCGTTTATATGCATTTGCGTTTAGAAAGCGTTATTTAACTATTCTTCATCATTTAACTATTTTTCATCATCAGAAATGCATGCAAAGCGTTTTCCATGTATTCAAATGGACCCGGTACACCAGCGCAGTCAGTTCCAGGTTTCGTGTGAAGGTAACAATGGTAGAATGAACCGCATTATGCTCATGATGGGATCCATAGTGAATACAACCAGAAAAGACAGGGTCATCTCCACACATACTGCTCTCTCTGCTTCTGCTCTATTTCTCTCAAAATGTCTGAAATAGTTAATTTTTTACTATTTCTCAGTGCATTCTAGGCATTTGGGAGGGTCTCCTGAGGTTATCTTTTAAAAACGCTTATAAATGTAAACGCGATATGCAAACGTGGCTAAACTGACGTTTTTTAACCTACGTTTTCCAGCAGTCAGTTTCCATCATTCAGAAGAGTTTTCTAACACCCCGTGTACATGAGCCCTTAGCTTGTCGATCATCCTCTGTACAACCACAGTGTCCATGCATGGATTGACTTTTGGCCGATCCTGGCTGAACCAGACGAATTTCGATCCATGTACGGCTGGCCATGGTGATTTGCTCAGTTTTTGTCCATTTACAAACATCGAGTGTTTTCATAGTAAGTGAAATCATGTGATAATGTTAATCAACCCTCATACAGGGAACACCTTGACAGGTTTTATAAATCCTTGGCCGTGTCACAGAAGAAATATACTTTTATTGGGGACACAATAATAATAAGGAAAACAATGATTCGTCAGTAAATCTGGAAATTGCTGAAAAAAGTTGGAGGATTTGTAGAGGAACATTTGACCTTCGAAACGTCTTGTACATTACAAATCCAGGAAGAATGTTTTATAGCAGAATAAATGTTCAAATATAGACTATAACAATACAATACAGAGCTATAGAAAAGGGAATGAACTTTTGACACATTGCGGATGGGGCATGGATGATCGTAAAATGCTTAGAAGAGAGAATGGGAGATGGAGAAGGAAAGAGCGTGAGATGGAGAGAAGAAATAAGGGAGGGGAGAGAGTACAAAAAAGGGAGATCGCATGAGGGAGGGAGAGAGCAGAGAGGCAGAAATAATGGAGGAACGGTTGGGGGGTGAGAGGAGAGCAAGAAAGGGGGACACAGTGCAAGCAATAAGGGGGTGGGGGAAGAGAACAAGCTGGAAAGGGGGAGAGAAAGGGTGCGAGCCAACAAATGGGGTGGGGGAGCGAGCAAGCAAGAATAGAGAGAGCAAACCTAAAAGGAGAGAGAGCAAGCAGGAAAGGGAGCGTACAAGCTGGAAAGTAGGAGAGAACATGTGAGCAGTAAGGGTGAGAGGATGTGCGAGCAGGTAAGAGAGAGAGCAAGCAAGAAAAGGGGGGAGACAGAAAGCGAGCAGGAAAGGGAGGGGGAGAGCGAGCGAGCAGGAAAGGGAGGGGGAGAGCGAGCGAGCAGGAAAGGGAGGGGGAGAGCGAGCGAGCAGGAAAGGGAGGGGGGAGAGAGCGAGCAGGAAAGGGAGGGGAGAGCGAGCGAGCAGGAAAGGGAGGGGGAAAAGGGAGGGAGAGCAAGCGAGCAGGAAAGGGAGAGAGCGAGCAGGAAAGGGAGGGAGAGAGGGCAGGCAGGTAAGACTGAGAGAGCGAGCAAGAAAGGGGGGCAGAAAGGAAGTAGGAAATGGGGAGAAGGTGAGAGAGCAGGAAAGGGAGGGGGAGTGAGCGAGCAAGAAAGGTGCGGGAAAGGGGGGGAAAGAGTGCAAGCAGGAGAGAGAGCAGGAAAGGGGGAGAGTGGATGAGCAGAGAAGGGGGATAGAGTATGTAAGCAACAAAGGGGGAGAGAAGGAGCACATGGGTAAGGATTAGAGAGCAAGCAAGAAAGGGGGCAGTGAGTAAGCAGGAAAGGAGTGAGGTGGGAGCTTGTGAGCAGGAAAAGGAAAGAGAGTGAGCAAAAAAGGGGGAGATGGTGAGCAAGCAGGAAATAGATAAAATGCAAGCAAGAAATGTGTAGGAGGTAAGCAAGCAGGGGAGAGGGAGCGTGCAGGAAAGGGGGGGAGAGAGCAAGAAAGAGAGGTAGAGAGGGGCACAAGAGCAAGATAGGGGGAAAGAACAAGTAAGAAAAGGGGAGAAGAGAGCATGAAAGGAGGGGAGGGAAGCGAGAAGAGGGCAAGAAAGAGGAAAGGAGGAGAGGGGAGGGAGAAGAGAGCAAGAAAGAGGAAAGGAGGGGAGGGAGAAGAGAGCAAGAAAGAGGAAAGGAGCGAGAGGGGAGGGAGAAGAGAGCAAGAAAGAGGAAAGGAGCGAGAGGGGAGGGAGAAGAGAGCAAGAAAGGAGGAGAGGGGAGGGAGAAGAGAGCAAGAAAGGAGGGGAGGGAGAAGAGAGCAAGAAAGGAGGGGAGGGAAGCGAGAAGAGGGCAAGAAAGAGGAAAGGAGGAGAGGGGAGGGAAAAGAGAGCAAGAAAGAGGAAAAGAGCAGGAAAGAGAGTTGGAGGAGATTTTCCTGCTGCCTTGGCTTGACTACTTTCTCTAACCTGGACCAAGCCCATACATAAGACTGGATCATATGAATTCCTGATCTTCATACCTCTTCCAGGTCAGAGGCTCAATGTATTGGATCAGCATGGCAGCCAAGCATTTGGCATTTTCAGCAGGTTAGCTGTAGCAGGCTCTGCATCCTCTTGTTGGTGGTTCCCTTTAAATATGTTGTGACTTTACACGTCTGATATTAGAATAGTGTCTCCATCACAGTGAATTGGGATATGTAAATGGTGCCGCTCCTTTCATCAGACACGGACCTTGGAACAAGGCAGATTGTTGGAAAAACAATAACCGTCTGACATCCGCGTTTTGTGTGAATTTTAGGGACATCTTACGTGATAGTTTGCAGGTCATTTGGCAGATAACCTGTTTTCTCCATGTGCATGAATGACCCCATTCATAGGAAAGGAAAGTCGTGTTTTATAAAGATCTGTATGTCTTTATTTCGGTCAGCCTGTCCCGGATCTCTGGTAGGAGTCATCTCCGTGTGTTTTTCTGCATAGGTAATTGCCAGTTCCTTGGTGGCTAGAGCAAACATCGCAACTGACTCTGTGATACCAATAACCAGAATAACCTGCTCCCTGCTTGTTGGGTGACCCATGGCCTGCCTGCAGGTTCCTTCGTTCTCTTACGTTCATCGAAGGACACCACAGAAATCTTGATCTCTTTCCGCTAAGATGGCACCATAACCCAATGGCCACCACATCTGGTCAGCTGCAATGTATTACATTCCTGTTCTTGGGTTTAGATCCGCTTTATTCAAAAATATGAAAAAAAGCCAAAAAGTAAAAAAAAAAAACATTCAGGTGTCAGGATTGCCTCCTGAACACCTGGAAACCACTGCTCTACTGCCCTCTGAAAGGCAATCCACTGCAAGTCACTTTTTCCAGACTGCTGCTCTTGCGAAAGGGACCTAAAAGTAGAACCTCCCCTTTTTTTTTTTTGCTTCCTTTCTTTTGCTGCATTACTAGCCTTCATTCCTAAGCTGTCCCTAGCAGCACGTCTTCTCTGCCACCTCCATGCTTTCTTCCTGTGCCCCACTTTGCTATAGGACTTTTTTTTTTTTTTTCTTTTTTTTGCCAAATGGCAGTTATACATTGCGGGACCACACCAAAACTGTGAGCCAAGCATTGTGGTGTGGTCCCAATGATCTCAATGGGCAAACCTGAGTTAAAAACCTCCACCTCTGCGGCATGTTTACACCCCTGTCAGACTGCCCTGTTTGTGTGGGTGGCAGTAAAACTGCGGCTCAGCCACCTTTTTATTACCGCTACCTGGCTGCCCATGTGAAATAGGCCTAAGGGCTGGTGCAACCAGATTGATTGGATTGCCTAGGCTTGCACTCAAATTACAATTTGATTTTTTTTTTTTTTTATTGAAATGAGATTGTACAGGGGTTATGCAATCGGATTGTAGTGTGTATGGTCACCCTAAGATGATCAAACCATTGTATACATAAAGCAATTCCTGTACCCGAAGGCTATGATATCATGTTTTTTCTGCTGAATATGTTATGATTGTTTTCTACTGTTTATGGATTGGTGTTTCATCTGAACGTTTGCCATGTGTAGTCTCGTCACTGAGCACCGACTATCAACAGAC